AAAAATATAGCCTTTTTTTCCCCTCCCTTTCACAAATCAGAATTATTTTTTTTTTCTTGCACGGACTTAAGGAAGAGTCCTTGTAAGACATAAATGAAAGACAACATGGTCTCATCTGCTAGATTTTATGGCTCAGTGGTTTTAACACCGCATTTTACTCTGGCTGTACCACTGTCAGGTACCATGGAGTAAAAACTTAACACGGAAATGTAAGAAAAAAATCTGTGTAAACCAAATGCTTATTTTGCATGTGATTTTATACACTACCTCACATTTCACTGACAATATACATTTATCAGATGCAGACAAGCAGATCTACTGACATACGTAATTCTTCACTGAGGCCAACTGAGGAACATTTCATGCAGAATGCCTTTCCTGTAAATAAGTGTTCAGAGAACTCAAAAAAAAAAAATAAATTCCCTTCCTCAGTCTCTAAGAGAAGAGAGAAATTCCCCATCTGTTCTACCTGACATCTCTATCAGCATTCCTGTGTGCCCAGGGATGTTTCAGACCTGCAGCCCCCAGCCAGAACGGAGCGAGCGCAGCATAAATGCCTGCTGGAGAGTTAAAGATCAGCTCTTTGGCTGCCAAATCTGAATAGCTCTTTTCTGCACCACTGAAAAGCAATGAGGATGCTTCACTGAACACTCTAGGTTGTTTAGGTAGATGAATAGTTGAAGTTGCTTTTCTGGCATGTCCTCTGTATGTAAGCTGGCACTGTCCCATGAATCTGCAAGGCCCACATGGCTTACGTTGCACGCTTCCCTCTCCACTCAGATAATATTAGTTCACTTTTGCTATCCAAAACATGTATTCCATTAAATTACCAAATTGGTCCTAAATGACGATAGAGGCTTTGGATGAGAAAAAGATCCCGTAATAAGCACATGTCCTTTCCTTTGCATTTGCATCAATAAAACTTCCCGGGTCAAAATTAGGATGGTACCAGGGATGCTGCAGTGAACCATGTCCTGAGCAGGAGTGATAGGCTTGAACCCTCCCAAGTGGAGGGACTGCACAGGAGAAGGACTACAAATGTAATTTCACCCTCGCTTTCAGCACTTCTCTCACTAGAAGGAAAGAACGACTTGGACCTTGCCAGGTCCCCAAAGAGCCACTTGAGCTTGAACAGGGGGGATGGGGAGTTTACCTGCTGGTAGAGATTGGCTTCCAGTACATTGCATGAAAATATTAACAAGGGAGCTTTGAGGAGGGCAAAGATTTTGTGACTTTGCCCTACAAAAGCATAACCATGTCTCTGTTACAGACTACTTGGAATAACCAAAGTCAGTAGAACATTAGGAGGAAATCAACTTCCATTTTCCTTTACACACTTTCCACTACGTATTACAGTATAAAATATCATCTGCAAAGTACCATCCATAAACCTAGAAATCTTGATCTTTAGCTCTTCTTCTTAGTTCATTAAAAAAACAGTTTTCTGTATTTTCAAAACACTGCCAAATGCAGGGATGATGATGTAGGATCCCATAATGATGAGATGTGTGTAGCACAATCTGATGGATATTCAGCTTATATTTCAGGTCCTCTTTCTCATGTCAGCCTGTCTCTGTCTGTCTGGTATACTGAAATCTTCTGATTAAATTCTCTTACTCCACTGCTTCCTTATTGATACTCTCCCTTTGTCTGGCAAAATTTTAATTACTACAGTACTGCATAACTCCATTCAGTGCTCTGATACTACCTCTGTGATAGGAGCAAAAGCAATTCCTAAGATAGAATGCAAGTATAATACTCACTATATCACTATATCTTCTTTTATGGCTACTAGCACCCTCTTTACAGCTGCTAATATATTGTGGTCTCTACCTTTCACTTACTGAATTTTGTTCTCCTTCACTCCATGTGTCCTTTTTCTCACCCAGAGAATTATGACCCCATCTCTGCCATCTCTCTTTCCTGCTCCCCGATATAATGTAGTGAAGTTCTCTTCTCCTTATCATGTTATTCTTTCCCATCTCTCAAAGACAGAAGTCTATATAATGCTCTACATCTTCTGCAACACAATTAGGAGCCAGGATGCAACGGTCTGTACTCACTGTTACTGTGTGGTGCTTAATGCACAGTGGGTGGATCTAATACAAAAGTTGG